TAGACAGGCAAACAGACAGACAGACAGACAGAAAGACAGGCAAACAGGCAGACAGAAAAAACAGGCAGACAGACAAACAGACAGAACGAGAGAGCGAGTGAGATATGAGGTAGGGGAAGATAGATAAGGGCGGGGAACAGAGGAAAAAGATGTACTCGTAAAAATAGACGGGGATAGGGATCCGGTGGGGAAGGGGGAATAAAAGAGTGAATGAAATAACAAAGATGAAACAGGAAAGAGAAGCAAGCAGTGATAAAACAGAGAACAAAAAAACCCCAACAACCTTGAAATGTAGTAAGAAGGAGAAAGACAGGGAAAAAAGAAGAGCCATATGGCAAAAAGAACAGCATCAAAAATTAAAACAGAAAAACAAAAGTGATCAAAAGAGAGATAAAAGCCGAATAAAAGTGGAACAATGAGGTGAATTAACAAAACGAAAAGAAAACAATAGCGATAATAAGGTAAATTGAAGACGACAAAGGTACAATGTGAAAAAAGAAAGAAATGGAGAAAAGAGGGAGAAAAGAGGGAAATAGTGACAGATGAAAAAGGTGAAGAAGTAAGAGAGAAAGGCTCTGCTGGGAAAAGGAAAAAAACCCCACAGGAAAACAGCAAGAGAAAGAGAAAGAAAAAGAGAAAACACAAAAAAGCAAACAAAGCCAGACTGACAAAAATCAAGAAAATACAAAAAATACCCAAAGATGCCCGTTAACACCATTCATCCTTCTTTCCCTCACACGTCTTTTTACACTATCCCAATCTTTCTCTCACTCACGCCCCAATTCAAGAGATGTATTTTCTGTTCCTTCGCTGAATGAAACGTTGACAGAGAAGAAGACAGGAAGACTAATTTCCAATGCACCTCACTTGAGCGGCTTGTAGAAGGAGGCGGGGAGACGAGTTGAGATTTTTGGAGACTTCTGATTGGTACTTGTGGTCTAACCGCGCATCCCGACTCCGTCACGTCTTTAAATTTGCTTTGAAATTCTGAAAATCTTGCTGGCTAATGGCTTTATCAGGTTGTGTGATTTCTAAAAAGAGAGGGGCGACCGAGAGAGAGA